ATATGATGATTACCGCGTTTGCCGCGATTGTCGTGTTGCTGCATCATCTCTCACTTCGGATTCGGCCAGACAAGTCTCTTCATATGGAAAGTCTTTTCCTATAGGCAGCCTTAGGAAACCCTAAGGAGATCAAAGAAAATGCCAGGGTTAAAAATTCAAACCCTGAAGTTAAGTGGCATGGTTAGAAAATACAACTCGGGTTTCAAGCTTGTGTAACTCACCGACATCTCACGCCGAAAGCCCTAGAAGGAAAAATGCCCTAGGTGGGTGAGCTCGGTGAACGAAATGACTTGGAGGGATAGTTGGTGTGCCCCCTGACCACGTGACCTCAGGAAGAAATTTAAAATATCTACTTTATCTTTGACGTTCGCCTGCCCCTCGAAGGACAGGGAAAGCCAAAATTTCTACTTCTTTTCCACTCACCTACTCCACGAAAGACAAGGAGTGCCAAAGAGGGGCAACTATGGACACCTCATTTTAAATCTGACAAATTCTATGGTTTTCTGAACCCTTAGGACCTCATTATCCTAGTAGACCCAATTTAATTACCCAAACCTACCTAAATCCTATCCCAATTTGAAGTAGAGTCCAAGAGCTTTTCCAACTGTCTAAGAATCACTTGAATCGGATCTATGGATAAAAAAGATATAACAAATGACAATTTAATCCTTGTGAGACCCAACTGTCAGGCCTTAGGCTGGGATGTAACGGGCCCGACAGGCCCAGACACGGTCTGATAATGCAGACGCAGTATTTATATGCAATTAATGCATTTTATGATGCAGTAAATGTGTTTTCTTCAATTAGATAAGGCTAAACCTTCAAGATACATCCAAAAAATTCTGAAAAAACTCCAAGCAATTTAAGAAATAATCACCAATGGAATCTTATAAATACCCCCTCTCCCTAACCAAAAAGAGATCAAAAAAATCTTAGAAATTCTTGAAATTAGGAAAATTATCCAAAAATGGGAAAAACCCTTAGAAAATTCTTAAAAATTTAGGGAAAATCCCCAAAAATCCAAAAAAATTAGAGAAAATCTCAGAATTTATATTCAACCTCTGGAGATCACAAAACCCTTAAAAAACTAAATAAATTCTCCTCCAGACGTCGAGAAAGACCTACAACTTTAGAAATTAGTTTAAGGTGTTAAATTCGAGAGATCATCATCGAAAGATCTGTCAAATTTTCATCGTAAACAAAATGTAAAGGATATTTTGGGAAAATAATATTAAGGGTAATTTTGAAATGATGTAAAAGAATTGTGTACAGTTCCAAAGTCACAATTCCGAGATTGAGAGTGAAGAAATTGCGTTGAATTGAGCTCTTTGTGTGCATAGTATAAATTCTAAAAGTAAACCTTCTTCCTCCCTATTTTCTAACCGACCATCCTTGACTGAACATAGACAGATGTACGTATGGACTTTATGGTGGGACTTCCCAAAAAAACGAGAGTGTGACTCTATCATGGTGGTAGTGGATAGGTTCTCTAAAATGACCCACTTCATTCTTTTTTGAAACACTTTAGACAAGACTCCCGTTGTTGATCTTTTCCTTAAGGAGGTGGCCCTAAGGCGGTTTATGGTTAGCCACCAAGCAAAGCGCTTGTCCTAGTCCCAATGCCCAAGGGAGTACAAGCTAGCAATGATGCAAAAGCTTTGGCCGAGCACATCGAAGTTTTCTATCAACAAGTTTGGGAAAACTTATAAAAGTGCTACGATAATTATAAAGCCAATGCCAACTTGCACTTCTAAAAAAAGACCTTTAAAGTAGGAGACTCGGTAACGGAGCACATTAGGCATGAGAAAGAGGCATTTACTATAAGCTTAAATATAAGAAGATTGGCTATGGTCTAGTTCTTTAAAAGATGAGAGTTGGAATGCCTACAAGATCGAGGTTCCCAAAGGATAAGAAAGCAGGGGTATTTTGGATTATTTTTTTTTGTAATAGACTTTTCGAGAATTTCAAAAAAGCTAAAGGGTTTCATTTAAAATTTGAGCCTTGGAAAAATTAGGAGGGAAAAGGTAGAATTTGAATTTAAAATTTGCTTGAGAAGAGGCATTGTACATGGGGATCGTGTCCATTAATACTCCTAAGAAGGAATGTTAATCCTAGACTTGATTATAAACCCTAGGCAGAAGATCAACGAATAACTCGGTGAGATCAACAAGATATAGGCTAATTTTGCCAAAAATTGGGCTGAAATTAGAAAAAAAATTAGAGAAACCAACAAGCCTTGGCCCATAATCTGCAAATCTTAGACTTGATTATAGTTTCTTGGCCTTGTTGTTCAAAAAAATCTAAGCTCTGATACCAAATTAATGTAGGAAATTTGCTAAAATAGTAAAATTAACAAGAATTTTAGGCCAAACACAAGCAATAATTTGGAGAAACCTCCTCCCCCAAGCTAAGATTCTAAAAGTCTAAATTTTTCTCTCTTTCAATTCTGTAAATCACATGGAATGGCTTCAAGGACTCCCACACACCTCTCAAATAGTCCTCATTAATGTTCAATGGACATTAGTTGTCCATACAAGTAAGAGAAATTGACCCTTATGTCTTAACTTAAACATAAAATTTAAAATGCATGTTTTACACCTGATAAACCAAAGTATACTATAAACAATACTTATCTAAACAACTCTTAAAAAACTTAAAAATATGAACAAATCTTAGAATCACTAAAAAAACTTAAAAACCCTAAAACAAATCCTAAAAATGTACATAATTTGAAATTATACAAAAAATTGAAATAATAATATTTTATTATCTTACATCCCATCCATTGTTAGAAAAACTAGGCGATCTAACTGTTAACCACCATATTAGATCGGAACCGATTTTGGGCAGTTTTGGTGATCGACCAATATTTTAAAAAAAAATTCAAAAGAATATATATAAATTATCAAAAATAAGGAATATGGTTTGTAATACATTTGTTAATATTCTTTACATTATGGAAAAGATTAAAAAAAAAAAATTTATTAATACTCACTTTAATTAAAAATTGATTCGTTAAAATCTATTTTTCATTAATTTTCAACTTCATTTGAATGTATTTTGTTTTAATCATTCTTTATATGCTTTTCATATTTTAATTGATTTTTTAAAAAAAAAAAATTATTTTTTTAGGCCGCCCGAGACTTGCCCGGTTAGAACAGTTGAATTGGCCGATTTATCGATTAGGTCAGTTAAACCGCTTCCGGGCCATGTCCGATTATATGTTCGGGTTTGATTTTGTGAACACTGATCCCAACATACCAGTGGTTCAGCCAAGACCGGGTGGTCCAGTTCTGTCTTGGTTACTATGCTATACATAGCTGACATATAATTTCAATTTGTCAAATATTTCTTCGCTCAAGCTCTCCCATGCTTGGGAGGAGGAAATCACCATCGAGACGTACCGATGTAACATGAAGCATAGTCATCCGAAATAAGAGTTTTATAAATAGCATGCTGTTTGTGTGCTACCGGTTCAGTCGACCCCACCAATTCAGTGAGCTCGGTCAATAAAAAAAATACAAAGTTCAAATTTTTTTTGAAAGTTCAAACTAGGTTAGGAACTTCAAATGATTCTAAAAACAATAATTTGATTCTATTAAAATTTTATAATGGATGAAGTTTTTATAAGGCCTAGGCTTTATGAAAGCAAAATAAAATCTCATCGCAAATCCACATCCAGAAAGCATTTTTGATAACGAAAATATCCATTATGGCTCTAAAATCAATTTCCAACACCAACAATAAATTTCAAACTAAAAAAATGGTACAAATCTTGCAGATATATGAACAGTTATTTTTAGGGCGAAATGGGCAATCTTCATAATTTGCGATAATAGACACTATTTTTTTATAGTTTAAAGTCCTAATTTGTTTTCCCAACCATAATGTTCAAGCCAAGATGATTGTTGCAAAGGTTTTTCAATGCTTGAATTGCAATTTTCGATGAGTTATGGGATGAGGCATTACTTGCTTCAATAGGGCTGTAGCCCTATCAAGCCATTTTCCTTTTTTTAATATAATTTTGGGGTGAATAAGTTTGAGTTCCTATTTAGCGAGGTTCTTATCAGTCACTCCCATTGTTAGAAATACCAGGTGATCTAACCGCTAATTGTCCGATTAGATCGGAACCAACCAGTTTCGGTTTAGGGCAATTTTGGAGATCGATAGGTATTTAGAAATAAATTTCAAAAAAACATATATATAAATTCTCAAAAATAAATATTCTTTACATTTTGGTAAAGATTAAAAATTGTTTTGTCGTTAATACTCACTTTAATTCAAATCGATTCGTTAAAATCTATTTTTTCATTAATTTTCAATTCTATTTGAATGTGTTTTTCTTTAATCATTTTTTAAATATTTTTTATATTTTATTAGATTTTTTTTTTGTATCTTTTTATTTTTTCATCACTTTTTTGACAGCCTAAGACTTGGCCGATTAGAACGGTTGAATCGGCCGGTTTACCAGTTAAACCGGTTAAACTGCATCCAAGCTCATGTCTAGTTAACCGTTCAAGTTCAATTTTGCAAACATCGGTCACCCCACCAGTTTCGAGTTAAATGAGAAAAATCAGCAGGTCCCATCTATCTTTAAAATGCCGCGTTACATAATTCACCTTGTGAAAGTCTTTGGATATATTTCAGGCATGGTCGCACTATATGGAGTACACCTAGAGCTGACCAGCAGACCTCATTTTGTATTTTCCATCAACTTCAATACTGTAACTGTCACACCCCCGAAATCCAACACCAAAGGAATTGATTTCCCCCATATTTACCAATATTTCTCCACAGGACTCGCTAATTTTCTTAGTATATTTCTGTTGGAAATCTGTTTAGGGGTCATTCTCATGAGCAGAAAGAGGGGGAAAAAAACGAAAAGAAAAAAAGAATATCATGTTTCCAGGAAAATGGAACCGATCATCAACAAGAAAGAAAATACGAAGGGATAAACAACAAGGGAATCAAATGATTCAAGAGAAAATGAAGCCCAAGATTTTGTTACACATGAAAGGACAGCTGAATGTTATTGACGCTTCAAAATGGTGAAGCAAATGATTCAAGATAAAATGAACCCAAAGATTTTGTTACACAACAAAGAATGGACAGCCGAATGTTATTGAAGCTTCAAAATTCACCATTGATGCCTTCCAGTGGTCCAACAAAAGAAGAAACGAATAGAAATTTCAAATGAAAGGAAAGCACAGCATTGACAGTTAGTTGAGACTTTGGGTTTAAGAACACCGTTACCTTTTACCTACAACCTGGCATCAGAAAAACCCAAAATTCGAACTGTGTTAAATGACGAACGAAAAACTGATCATTTTCCATCAACATAAAATGGGAATAAGACAAATGGCACTAAGATCAGGCAAAGTGAAGGGCGTCAAGAAGGAAATGAGCACCAGCCAATAGAGATAATGCGGGCAAAGTGAATGGAGTCAAGAAGGAAATCAGCACCAGCCAATAAAGACAAAAAGCTTTTTTGGTCCGAGTGAGAAACTGAACCATGCTGATTTTCCTTGTTTTTATCTGGTTCAGGGCCTCGGATCAAAAAAGTTCCATGTGTGATTCAGGATGTATACCGGATATCCCACCAGGTTTACTGTACTGCAAAATAATATCCAATTGCACTAGATTCTAAACATTTTCAGAGAACTGCAACTGCCATTGAGGAAATGAAAACAATAAGCAGTAACATCATGAATGACGGACACTGAATAAGCATTCTCAACCTCAAAACCCTGCATAATTTCTACCTCTTGTGGGAAAACAGGTATCTTTATCTACATTTGTTTTGGGGGATTGGGTGTTGGTTTTTTTTTTTTTGGGGGGAGGGGGGGAGGATGAGGAGAGAGAGAGAGAGAGTTACGTGAAGAGCTGAGGCCTAGTGCGAGACATCTGAGGTCGCTTCATAGGAGAGAGAATGAGGTTTCGCAGAGTGGCAGAGGGGTTGGCCCCACCGCCGGTAGCGCCCATTGCGGAGGATCCAAACATAGGGCGTGGGGCCCTCCTACCTGTCAATGGGTCCCCTGAAACCGGCACTTGCTTTGCTGGAGAAACGCCAGACACGTCGAAGGTGCCACCACTGTTGGCTCCTGAGGAATTCTTCTGCCTCGACTGTGGGGCCCACATATCTTCTCTTTGTCCTGGAGTTTCAGGGGTGGAAACCGACCCACCACCTGCATCATATAAATCAACTATTTTCTTGGGGAGCAATTGATTCAACATAACGAATTTCGCACACTAAACCGTAATCTTAAGTTCCACAACAAAAAAACTGAATGGTCCCCCTTACTCTTCAATGGAAAGCAAAATCAAATGGGAGTTGCAGACATATAATTCAGTTATTCGAGGAAAGTAGGGCATATACAGCTTGTGTATGGAATATGATACCGAGCCAGGGCATCCATCTACTAAACGATGGAGAATAGCCAAGTTCCTGATCATACATAGGCTGTGTATGATACTCTTCCTCTTCATATGATATAAATTACCTTGTCTGAGAAGGGGGTCTCTGTTATCCATCAGATTAGCAGGGCTAGCAAAGAGGTCATGTTCTGATCTTTGAAAGAAGTTATTTGCTGGTTGGATAGCTGATCTCTTCATGGACTCGTACTCACTTCTTAAGAGATCATACATCTCATCAAGTTTCCTCTTCTGCCTGATATTAAGTGCACGGATGATTGAGCAAGAGCCACACAAACTCACGCAATTAACATGTTCGCAAGAGACAGAACAATGTGTATTTGAAACTAACACAAAAGGAGATTTTTCTCTGAGGACAAGACAACCATTGGTTTAGGTTATTTCTTGAACAATAGGGATACTTATTGCTTTTCTTGAACAATAGGGATACTTATTGGTCACTATAAAATGAGCGGTTCACAGAGGCATAATCAGGGTAATTTTGCTTATGTCAAAAATGGAACAACTGGTAACTACTATGTAAAGGGATGTGAGATCATGAATTTTCATCTTCAGAAAAAAAAAGTGGATTGAGAATTAATTGGAAAGCATTTAATAACCATATGAAAGACAAGAACCTCATAACATAAACTCCACCATGCATTGGACAAGGCATGGAAATGGACATGTAGATTGTATGGGTTTGTAATTGTTAGAAGAAACAACTGGGAAGAAGCATAAGCTGTTGAAGTTCCAATATCATAAAGATCATGGTTCAATTACTCAGCTTGGGCTCAAAACTAGGGGCATGCCCGAGCCAAGTAACTCAGGCTTGTTCAAGTGGCCTCTCCAAGTAGTGTATGGGTCCAAACGGCGCTACAGAATAAAAAATTAAAAATAAATTTTTTTGTTAAAAATAATGAACAGAAAAGGGCCAAGTAAACTATACACTATATTAAAAGTTTGAATGAGATGGAAAAGAATATATAAACGATGGATTCATAAAAAGTTGGGAAGTAGTTAAGATTGATAGCCAAGAAATGCCTAAAAGATCGCATTCTTCGATATCTTGGATCGATAATCCAAAAAAATGGAGCGATTAAAGAAGATATCGTACATAGAATTAGAGCTGGGGGGGGCAAATTGGAGATGTGCAACTGGAGTTTTATGTTATCGCCACATACCAATAAAGCTGAAGGAGAAATTCTATAGGACAGCTGTGAGACCAGCTTTGCTCTATGGGGCAGAATGCTAGGTGGTCAAGAAACAACAAACCCATAGGATGAGTATAGCTGAGATGAGGATGTTAAGATGGACAAGTGGCAAGATAAGAAGGGAAAGAGTTTGAAAGGAATACATTAAGGAGAACTCAAGTGTAGCTCCAATAGGCAATAAGATGAGAGAAAGTAGACTTAGGTGGGCAGATCATGTGTGGCGTAGACCCAATAGAACACCTGTTAGGAGATGCGAGTTGAGTCAAGTGGAAGGCTCAAAAAAGACAAAGGGTAGGCCCAAATGGACGTGGTTAGAAGTAGCGAGAAAAGATATAAGAACTTATGGCCTCACCGAGGGTATGGTCCTTGATAAAGCAGAATAGTGGATCAAGATTCGTATAGCCGAACCCAAATAGTTGGAAAAAGACTTTGAAGATGATAAAGATGATGGATTCAAAATAAATTGATTTGTAGCTGGAAACATTTTAGAGAAATACATTACAAGAAAAACTCACAGATCATCATCAAAAACATCAAAATTATATGTTGTGTATTTATGCATTGATTTTACAAAAACAAATTTATAGTTTTATATATATATGCGAATGTTTTATTTTACACAAGTTTGTACACTAGAAATTGGCTTGACAAGAGGCCAAGTCCAATGATGAGATAGATTCAAAGAAGAAAGACTATTATTCAACAGAATTGATAAAATCATGCACATGTAATGTTTCATAAACTTAGCCATTGTGTTATACTGGTTATACTGTGTTATCACACCTCAAGGATTTTGTATATCCATAACATGATATTATACAAGAATACGCGATTGTTACCAAAGGCTCTATAACTGTGTCCCTAAGTGTTGTATCAAAGAAAGGTACCTTGTTTCTAATAAACGAACCTATTTCCGCCCTAGCAAAAATAGGGCTGACCCAAAATTTTGTTGTGGTTTCCCCTCCTAAACACCTTACAAGAAGCCCTTTATTCCATCCTCCCAAACCTTTTCCCCTCTCTCTTCTCTTCCCTCGAAGTTTTTATGGTTTTTCCCAATCTAAAAACAGACTGTGATAGTGACAATTTTGTAAAGAGTTCATCCACAAGTAAGCAGTATATCTTTTACAGATTTAATACAATATAGTCATCATCATCATCAGGGCCCTTTTCCAACTAATTGGGGTCGGCTATACAAATCTTGGTCCACCATTTTGCTCTATCAAAGGCCAATATCCTCAGAGAACCCAATATAGTCAATTTCATCAAAAAAGATATAATACAAGTGGTCTATTTCCATCCTCAGGAAGGGACACAGGGCCGCTCCACTTGGGCCAAGGCGCTAGGTGCCCATTTGGGTGTTGCCTTGGCCACCTAGGTGGGCTCCTAAAGGAACTTCCGCCGAGGCAAGGAGCGCTTAGGGCATTGGCCCCCCTCAAGGCACCGCCTAGAGGCACCAAGGCAGGTTGTTTTTTAGAACACCCGGTATTTGTTAAATAAGCTAAAAAGTGTCATGTTCTCATATTTTTTTCCTGTAACAGTGACAAGCTGTTTTCAGATTTCTATACAAAAAGAGTTCTGATTCTCTATTCCAGCAAAGGTTGTCAATAACTACCATGTTTGTTCCATGACAGCCTGTCCCGTGCTTAAGTGATAGACATCTTACATTTTTCCATTTCTTTTTTGTTACAATTTTACGTTTTTTACAATTTCTTTCTTCTCATCAACTGTTTTTTCAAATTGTACATTCAATGGCTTGCCATTGAATGATATCAACTAACTCAAAGAAACACTATAGGTACGATAATGTGCACACTATACGGTGTAAAGGATTAAATTGCCACTGAATGATGATATATGAGGTACAATTACCTTGATTTCTCTGCGAATTTCTCCTGAAGCTCCTGTTTATCCTTTGAAAGGCTCTCAACCTCCTGCTCCAACATTTGGCATCTCTTTGCCATCTTCTGATATGCCGTATGTACTTGCTCCAGTTTCTCTGAGAATTTTTCTTGTATAGCCTCACATTTCTGCCTACATTGCCCAACGATCTTATTCATTTTGTACTGCATTTCAAGATCCTTCTGCCCAATGAAGAACATCACACTTCTGTATGCACTCTTCATGACTGACTAGCTTAAGGAAGACAACATTTCCAGCAAACATAAGAGCATAAGTATTTTGAAGTTACCATACCATACCTTGATTTTAAATTTCAACCACAGTTACATAATGCTGTCTATTTTGATATCTATTTTCACCATAGCAAAAAAAGTGATATCTATTTTCAGCTGTTTATGAATTATTGCCAAAACATTCTGGCCAATCTAGAATTCTCATAGTCAGAAAGACACATCAGAGCCATCTTCAACTGAAACTCAACCACAATTCCGTTGGTTTCTGGCGGCCTCAAGTCCCTAAATTCCCCATCCAACGGAAATTCAGCCAAAACAGGTGGAATTCAACCACACATGCACCCATTACGGATCAACTTCAGGGACAGGATGAAGTTCATATTTGACCCTTGCCCAAACAATTACTCTAAAGTTTCAAAATCTACTGTATACATAATGAATAACATCTTTACTATTATAGGCAAGCATGGGATTTGAACCTGTAACTCAGCATCAGAGAGAGCTTTTAAAATACTATGTTAAAGGGAAAGGGATTTGAACCTATAACCCAGCAGCTGAGACAGAGCTTTTATAATACTACGTTAAATGGAAAAACTTTGATCAGCTATGACCTTTGGTATGTGAATCATAAATCCGCAACCACGCATGCACACATTATGGATCAACTTCAGGGACAGGATGAAGTTCATATTGGGCCCTTGCCCAAACAATTACTCTTAAAGGTGTCAAAATCTACTGTGTACACAATGAATAACATCTTTTACTATTACAGGCAAGCATGGGATTTGAACCTGTAACCCAACAGCTGAGACAGAGCTTTTATAATACTATGTTAAAGGGAAAAACTTTGATCAGCTGTGACCTTTGGTAGATGTGAATCGTAAATCCGCTTTATTTATTTATTTATTTTGTTATGAAGCACAGACCTTATACTCTAGCAATGATCAAGCTCCTCAATTTCACATAGTACTGCAAGAATACCACGACCTTTTTTTCCTTTCTCTGTTTTTTTTTTACCTTTCCTTTTTTGGATGGCCAGGCAGGGATTCAAAATACAAGACATACAGGAATATAGTCTTTATGCCCCAGTCAGTAAGCCAAGTTAAATACATTTTTTATGTTATTTAGACACCAGATTATTGAATAAAAATTGATGGATTAACATGACTACTTTTAGTAAGATTAGTAAGTACTAGCAATCGACAGGAGTGCAGAATAACATTGAGACACACTGGACTGTCAAGTTCATAATACTGGCAGTTTCAGTTTCTTGACAAATACAGAACTATGAAAGCTTGTTTCTGGAGAAGTATGTGGTCTCTTAACAACTAAGTTGACCTATTGTTTAGTCATCACCATCATCATCATAGCCTTACCACATTTACTACCCTATTGTTTAGTAAAGAATTTAAATACTATAGTTCGGACCTTGGGATATTCAGCCAGTGCTTCTAAATATGGATTTGCAATCGCCCAGAACAATAAACAGCTCATTGTAACTATCAGGAACATATATCGAACCTGTTATCCTCTCTACACTACTAAGGCAGAAAAATAAGTGTCGAGGTTTTGTAAATTATTAGGTCAGTTTTGGTATTGATGGCCTCACCTAGATTTTTTTCCATTATTTCTTATTTGGAACATGAACCAACGGCTCAGGATACCAGCCCATTGCAAAATTTGGGGGATCTAATTGACCCATTGCATTTTATGTGGTACAGATCTATGGAGAGAATATCAGGCAAGTGATGCATAATATATTATGGTATGCGTTTTAAAAACTTAGAAGCATGGCATGTGGAGAATCTGAAGATTGAACAACAAAGAAAAAAGGATACGAATTTGTGGAGATATTCCAGCCATGACCATCTGCATCAGGCACACGAGCTCAGATTGATTAGAAGAGAAAAATGTGAATCCCAGTAGAATATTTTTCTGTCACTTTTTTCTTTTCTGATATACAGATGAGAGACTCTTACGTTTATCCATTCATCATTTGGATTTAGATCCACAGGTTTCATGAGGCTGAAAAATGCAAAACAGAAAACTCAAACACAAAAAATGAAAAAATTCTATAAAAATACAATATTCTGTTGTATCTGCTCATAGAAATGGGTGCATGAGTGTAGAAATTCCGACATTTTTATACAAGTGTGTGCATTGACATGTTTGTGTATGCTGCATATGCATTTACAAGTTTTTGAGGGAGAGGGAATACTGCTAGATCTTTGTTTTTTTTTTTGAGATGCAAGATGTATTTGTTTCTAAATCCAAATGATGCATCAAAAAACATGCAAGATGCAACATGTTTGTGCATGCAGCATGCTGTATTACAGGGGAAGGCAGAGGCAGTCCAATTTGCATTTTTCCTCTAGTTTGAGTTAAATAGGTGTACAGCAATCTGAAATCTCTAGGGTTTCATGAACAAAGCTAAAGATACATAAAACTTGTTATAAAAGAGTTCTAGGGTGGGCAAGAAAGGAAACTGCCAACCTTATCAGTCAACAATTGACAGTCTCATGCTTTCAGATATTAGACAATATACCCTAGGTAATACACACCTACTGATGACAAAGGTTATGATAATGAGTTGTTGTTCATTTGTAAGTACTCGAATTTGATTCCTGTGAACATCAAGGTATGCAATAGGGACTAAAGTTATGTATCAGTGTTTTGGGCAAGATACCAGGTCCCTAGATGCAAAAGTTCTCCAAAAGGTATGACATTAATCGATTGTTAATTTGTTATTACGGACTGAACGACTGAACTAGTCTAGTGAACTTGAACGACTGAACTACTGTAGTGACTTATTAGAGGAACTTCAAGGAGGTCTACACCCAGAGTTCGCAAGTAGGACTGGAGAAGGTCTCAGTGAGAGCTTGTTCTCCACACAATTTAGAGTTCCACATAACATATATTGTGCTTCTTGAGCAAGAAATGTACATCTTGTGGTTGTGATCATTACCGTGGTATATTCAACCATATGAAGAGGAATGATTGGGATCACCAACAATAAAAAGTTCAGTGTATCTCACCTATAACCTACCAATGGGAAGAGACACAATTGGTAACTTCCCATCAAATGAAGCAACTTGACTCATCCCCATACCGTGAACCATAGATTTACTTGGTAGTACCGCTATGGCAGGAATAGATGGAGGTTAAAAGAATATTTTTTCAAAGGACATGCAAGTTCTTCAATATCAATTTGTTTCTCTAAAATACAAAAATAAGGGGCATTCAAAGAGCAAATCTAGATAACTTGCAGACATTTCCAACTGGATAGAGTACCACAAACGACATCAATGGATGCCAATGTCAAGGGCCAAGAACAGACTACATGTCATGGTCAAGTTGGGTCAAAACATAGGATGATGAAGATTTGACTCTTTGCCAGACAAATGACAATAATAATTTGGAATTTTTTCCTCTTTTAAAAGACCAAAAAAGGAGTATGTGAGATAATCGAGTTTGAAAATCTTAAATATCTACCATACTAGCGATGGACACGTGCTCCACACATGTTTTGAGTTATACGATTTAGATATTTCTATTTTATCATACCTAAATACATGGAGGTCACAATCAAACCTACCTATCAAATGTGAAATTCAATGGCCGGGGTTATGTGATGAGTCTTGAAATTTTTCTTTCAGCCTTTGAACCAAGACAATGCAGAGTCTAAGCCACATGATTTGAGATCCAACGGGCAATAGTGATTATGATTTACTTGTACCAAAAGCAAGTCTTATCCTATGCTTTCCCTTTTTAATAACATGATCAAGGGAAATCCTTTAATATGTATTATTAACAAACTCGAATTTTCCATCTGGTTTGTTCAAATAGTACATGTTGAATAAATTAGTCAGTTAAAGAGTTCTAATAAGATGTTATTGCAATAGTATATTGTATTCATAGGTTCTTGAAATTTTGCAACACAAGTTTCTCATAAAACGATGAAATAGAAACCTCACACCCAAAACTCAATTCCAAAATACAAAGAATAGAATTAGCCATGACTAATCAATGCAAAAAAACATAAATAGATGATAAGCTTTCTATGAAAATATGAAATTAATAAAATAAAAATAAAATATGAATTTTAGTACTATTTGACATCCCCAAAACTCAGAATCCAATAAAATAGCTTAGTTTGATTTTTACCAAGGAGTACATTGAGATTTCTTTTTCTTTCTTTTTTAACAGTAGATTAGTTCATGATTTCTTATTATTTTTACCTTCTTTTTTGTGTAATACAAAAGAAGATAGAGAGAGAACATATTATAAAATACTATGTTACTATAATATAATATATTACAATATAATAATATAATATATCATACTACATTATAAAATAAATTTAATAGGAGCCTTCACGTGAGCTCATGTGGGCCTAGCAGCAACTTCATTCCTCTTTTCAATGAGAAGCTTAAAAGTTTGTTTAAGGGAAAAAGTATTTTGTGCTCCTATAATGCACATCTATCACTTAAAATGGATGTTAACAATACAAATGAAGAAAACCAGATCAATTTTTTATAAGTTCACCTGCAGTAGTACAGAAATCAGATAAAATACCATTATAAAATATATTTATCAAAAAATACAGAAACCTGCGGGAACATGAAAAATATATTTATGTTAGGATGGCATACCGAATCAATGAAGAGATACTATTTAGACATGCAGTTGCGAGCGGAACTCGCGCTTTATATGTATTACAGATAATGTACTTTATATGCTTAAACTTGTCTTTTACTCAATTTCAAGACATTTCATTGCCTCCCTACTTAATTCACAATTTTCAGTTTTGGGGCTTTTAAAATATTTTACAATTCAAAATTTATTTTATTCCTTGAGTCATGTCTCTTTTCTATAAAGCAAGCAATCTCTTTTTAGCACCAGCCAATAAGACCCAGTCACTCATCAAGCCATTATGAAGTCCCATTATCAGATTATTATAGGAAAGTAAAGAAAGCATCAAATACAAAATTGTCTGATAAAATCAATGCCTTCATAGGTGCATGTGTGTGAGTATGATTATAAGAGAGAGGGCGGATGGGTTTGGCAGAGTGGGGTGTGTTGCTATTATTGAAGAAAAAGCATCCATCCTGTGATATTCCTTTCTCTTAAGCATGTAACCTGGAACCATGCAATGAATCAAAGAGAAAGCCAATAGTGCAAAGACACCATATTTAAGTTGTTAGATAAAAAAGGTGAACCACATGATACTACTAGATTCTAAAACTGAAATAAGCAACTCACCTTCTGGAAAGTATCTGATCACAGATGGGACATGCGGCATCATTGCTAAGAATCTTACCAGCATCATCTGTGCCTATTAATTGTTGTCAAAGAAAAGCTTTAAGCATGCACACGTTTAACTATTCGAACAGGGTGGTAGCATATGAATAAATGAACCTATATTTCAGTAAGAGGATACACAAAATATGACCACAAGTTGTTGATATTGCACGTCCTTCCAGTTCCCGCCAGCAGGCATTGCACTTCATTTCAGACTTCACACTTAACCCTGACTTCCATAGTCGTTAAAAGGGTAGTGATATCTGCAAAGAAAATAATATATTTGATCTTCTTACGTGAACAGCATCTTTAATTGTATAACACAAAGCGTCTTACTTAATAGATTTAAACAAATTTTTTTGAGTGAAGATTTATTTAAATAATTTGAAATAAAAAAGGTGAAAATTATCCCCATTTCAATATCACAGCTAAGTCTTGAAGCACCATAAACAAATCAATATTTATTACACAAAAAATATAGACAACTTAGAGATATGAATGCAAGAGATGTTAGAAAAAACTCACACTTGGCAAAGTCAATAAATGGGAAACGTCAACTGAATGCCCTAAGCTTTTCTACAAGTGCACTCCCATATAAGAGGAACCTGTTATAAGAAATTTCAATTCATGAAAAAAGTTGCAGAAAAGCTGAAATCCATAAATAAGTAGAACAGCTAAAATGCACATGAGACCCCATTTCTCAACTATAACCTACATGTACAAAGTTGCATGCGCTCCATATTTCTTTTGTTTGAGAAATTTAAAGGTGATAAAGGAACACTCTGTAAATTTAAAGATTGGCTTGTACCATATTTAACAATGACAGGTATCACATATTGGCAGGATATCTTTCATACATTGTCAAGTAAAGCTAAGGGTTTACTAGAAAGAGATAATGCACAACTTCAGAGAAAACATAGCATAGTCCCTTTGCCAACATACTATTAATCAAATTAGGAAAATGGCTTGTTACACCATATTAACATATATTCCATGGTCAGAAATGACTGAATACAAGAGGAAATCTGTGAATTTGGACATTTTTATAGATTAGATCTTAATTTTGTTCCCGAAATTCTGACTTACACTGGCCATAACTGAAACCCATTTTTGGTTGTAACATAACTTCCACCGGAAGAAACAATCATGCAAATTTACTATTGAACTATTTTGAACAGGTTGAAGTCAATATCTCAAATGTAAAACGAAACTTCAGCTGAATATACACAAACCTTGGTAGATTTTATCTTTGTACGTACAAAAACCTACCCACAAATTTGGGTGTGAACACATACGTGCATGCATATGCATCAGTTTATGTTCGTGCAAGCGTGTTTGCATATTCAAGTGGAAACTCTAGTTGAAGTTTGGCATTTTGACTTCAGCATGGCCAAAACAAAAACAAAAGATCCAACATGACTTAGAACAGCATTGTAGCTGTATAGAAGCTGATAACTATCATATCACCAATTTCTTAATCACTATGATATTATATTTTCAATGTATTAAAGGAAAAGACAAGCAAGAGATAAAATTCAGAAAACAACAAACTCGTAAATAAACTGAGGAAATGCAAAAAGGCGCTTCTTTTAGTGTTCCCAAGCAGAATACACAATGAGAACGAAAAATTTAAAAAAAAAGTCAAAGAAGTTATGGTGTTCAAATAGAATGAGCAAGTTAGAAGCTTCGGAAATATTAAAAAAGTGGGAACATCAAGGAATTTCTTAACATTCACAGGAAATGGAGGAATGAAATCCGATAACAGAAAATAAAGAGGTAGAAAATATTGAGAATTTGCAGAGTAATGTCATTGAAATTCCGAAGTATGGAAACTCTGAAAAAGTCAATTAAATTTTCAGGAACAGAGCCTAAAAGAGTACCAAAATTGAAAAAGAGGAAGCAAGGAGAAAATGAGATTTTTACGGGGGAGGTTGACAAATCCAAGAGAAAAAGATAAAACGCATAAAACTTCAAGCCTGTAAGTGTCATGGAGCAGATACTGAATCAACCAAAAAAAAAAAAATTACAAAATTAAAATTAAAATTACAGAAAGAGGGAGAAAAGGAGAGTATAAAGGGGGAAATGCTATTGATAAAATCTTTTCAAATTTCAAATCATTTGCATAATCACAAACACGGATAGAAATTAGCAATTTACAGTCAAAGGTAAACGAGAACAGAGAATGTCACCTATCAAATTAAAATAAAAAAAAACAAATTTTTTGACAAAGAAAATAACATACCTGAAAAACCTCATACCAAAGTAGCCTATTCTAAAGCAAAAGCAAGAGAAAGAGTAAAACACCAAAAGCACAAAGCAATGAAAACAAAAAGGTCAATGTAAGAAAAACACCAAAATATTACGAAAAAAAAAAGCATCCAATTGTTATAAAAAAAAAAAAAAACCAATTTCATGTCACAAAAATCCAAAGAACTCAAGAAAGTATACTGAGAGAAGAGCGATTTACACGTTTCTGAGCAAGATTTACAGTGAAACAGGAGCTTCTGAGTAGGAATTACAAGTGAAAATTAGGGTTTCTGAGATGAAGCAACTTACAACGAGTGAAGCTACTTCAGGAAGACCGGTGTCTTCTTTCTCCCGCCATGTGATTCGAAATGGAGGGCCACTCGAACCGCTATTTATAGGGTATGTTGGAAGAATACGAAAATGCCCCCATCACTTTGCCATATTTGCGATCTTAACCGCATCAAGTTTTGTAGGCGGGATTGGATACAGGTAGACCATTTATCTCTGAAATACGGAACCGGTTTCTATGCGGCCAAGCCGGCATACGTAGAAATGCGGGCTTAGTAATAGTTCGGCATACGTAGAAATGCGGGCTTAGTAATAGTTCTATTTTGTGGTGGATTTTTTGACTTAATTTTTAAGGATACATGTAATATCTAACATAGGGATTATGACTATGAATAAATAAATAAATTTTAAAAATTAGAAATAATAATTTTAGTAGAAAACATTTGAACCATTAGTTTTTATTGTTTTTAAATATAACTTATATAGAACATCTACTGGCATCTATCCTTAAGATGCATGCTTTACACTTTGTGCACGACATACGTAATCATGCAGTCCAGCCCGTATGAAACAACTTTCCTTGAAACAAGGAGGTGATAATTACTTATAACCATGGGATGTGAATTCTGATAGCATAAGTGTGTCACAAAGTTCAAGAAATTTTATTTTGAAGTTTGAGCTCGGTCAATAGAATAAATGAAACCATACAATTTCACATCTAATAGTCATGGTTAATTATGATTACCTTATACCAAAGGTAAATGGTCTTACTTTTCCAAGGCCCATGCCTTTCCTAAATGGCTAAAATGACCCTTGTCGCAAGAGGTTTATTATTACTCCCCGAGGCCCAAAAGAATAATGGAATTTCATAGCAATTATTTATAGGACTGTATACTATGAGACTATTTATCTTTGTTACAAGGAGGCCACAATACTCTTAATTATTAAATGTCAAATTGGATGAATTGAGATATCTTATGAAGTTCGAGAAATTTATTTTGAACCTTGAATCTAGTTAATGACCCTCTTACAACCATCCAATTTGAATTTTGACGGACAAGAGTAATTGTGACCGCCTTGTATGAAAGTAAAATGGTCTCTTTGTACACATTTTCATTATTAATCTGCTCATATAGCTTGTAACAACTAGTTAGATATGCTTTCTATAAAGATAAGAACTTCTTAGATAAATTATGAACAATTGTTTCTTGTGGGCTGGACCGCATTTGTACAATATGCAATCCAAAGATATAAAGCATTCATCTCAAAGAAGGATGTATATAGCCGGTCTATCTAAAAACAATTGTAACTAACTGTCCAAATATTTTCCAAATATACTTAAAGTAATGATACTATGTGACCCTCCCACACCCACGTAAGTAGAACCCCAAATGATCACCATTAAATTTTGACACAGATCTCTAAGAAAAGTTATCAATAAATCCATTCACCCAAGTCCCACACCCATGTCATAACTTTTATAGAGATCTGTGTCAAAATTTAATGGCGATCTTTTGGGCTCCTACTTACATAGGTCTAGGAGGGTCTCATAGTGTAATTACTCATATAATTATTATGGGATTATATACAATGAGATCATTTACCTTTAATATAATTAGGTCACAATTACTTATAACCATCTAATGTGAAATCTGATAGCATGGATGTGTCACAAAGTTTGAGAAAATTTCTTTTGAACTGTGAGCTTGGTCAATGCAATAAATGCAACCACCCAATTTCATATCCAATGATCAAGATTAATTGTGACCACATTATACTAAAAATAAACAGTCTCAATGTATACTTTTTTAATTATTATTTCTAATTTTGAAAATTAATTTATTTTTTCATATTCATGATCTTCATATTAAATAATATATATTCTATAAAAATTATTATCAAATTATATTTAAAAAATACATTTATTGCCAAGCCCGCATTTCAACATGTGCAAGGTTGGCCGCATGATAACCGCGTCCATAAATTATTAGTGTTAGAAATCAAACTAAAAAACTTGAACAATTGTTATATGTTTTGATGTATTTTGGACCTGAAATGTCAAACGACCGATATATGATATAAGGGATGCAACATAAAGAGGGTGAGGAAAAAAGAAAAAAACAACTATATAAGTAGGTTTGGAAATTAGGGCATTGGAGATTTAACATAGACCTAAAAATCTATTGGATACTTGGAGATGGAAGGATTACCTCGGGAAAGACATCGATGTGAAACATAGGAAAAGGCATTTTGTGGATGTTCACCTAAGGGCATTTATCCTAGAAAAATTGTTTCATGCGGGCTTCATTGCATTTTTACGTAACCGCATTTCTAAATATGCACAAAGTGTAAAGCATTCATTTTAAAGATGGATGTAAGTAGGATGCAAGTAGGTGTTCCATAAAAAAAAACAATGAAAACTAACGGTCCGAATATTTTTTTATTAGAATTAACAATTTTAATTTTTAAAATTTGTTTATTTTTTCATATCCATGATCTCTATGTTAGAGATTACATGTCCTTAAAAATTAAGTCTTAAAATCCGCCTTAAAAATAGATTTATTAAGAGGCCTGCATTTCTACATATGCGGGCTTGGCCGCATAGAAACCGGGTCCTATATTCTATCAACCAAAGCAAAGAGGGCATTGCTACAGTAAAAACTGTTTTAAAATACAAAATTTGGAATTAGATTTTTAAAAGATCAGATTTGGAGAAAAAAACAATCATATGAACTTAAAGTATACAAACGTATTCATATATTTGTGCACACAAATGCATGGATATATTTGTGCACCACTTTGGAGTGGATTATAATTTTCTCGGGATCAAAAGAAATAATAAGCTAAAACAAATGAGCAAAGTAAACTAATAACAGAAATAAAAAAAATCAAATCAAGGTTGTAATTTAGGAAAACTTTATATACTTCTCCGTCATATGCATTTTATATACTCCCCCCTATTCAGCCATCCAACTTAAATGGACGGCTAAGGTAACTTGTCTCAAAATGTCACAATTAAAAAATATTTAAAAAAAATAAAAAAAAAACAAAATACCTATGAAACTTTCAAAGGCATTTTGATTATTTATTTTATTGGGAATATATTTTTATATGGGTGAGGTTTGTATAAGGTTGCCTCCTTATACTGTAGAAGTAAGGCGCTCCTCTAAAATTTATTTAGAGATGTCATTTCAGTATTGAAAAACATATCATGGCTTCAAAATCTCTCTTTATCCCCAGTTATATCAAGATCGAGATGATCAATTGAAAGGTTCTCCAATGTTAGAACATTCTCCACTGTAGGATTTTTGAGGTGCACCTTACTTCAACAATATAAGGTTGCTACCTTGTATAAACTTTTTTTTTCTTTAGATGCGAGTTCAAGAGAGGAGTAGACACCCTCAATTTGTTGTCAAAACACGTTGTAGAAAAAATTAAAAACAAAATAGTAGGCGTGACACTGTGATTTGTGTCGTCTCAGTCGTCCATTCAGATCGGATGGCTAAAATATTGTCACTTCCATGTATAGAAAATAAATGATCTCTTTGTAGGCAATCGAATTATCAATATAAGTTGGAAAATTGTTTCATGTGACCAGGACTGTATTTCTACATTTACGGTCCCTGACGTATAAAGCATCCATCAAAGATAGATGCAAATAGGTAGTCTATCTAAAAATAATTAAAACTAACAGTCCAAATATTTTCTTAATAGAATTGTTATTTTTAATTTTTAAAATTTATTTATTTTTTCAAATTCATGATCTCCATGTTAAAGATTACATGTCCTTAAAAATTACGTCAAAAAATTCATCTAAAAAAATAGAACTTTAAGAGGTGACTCATTTCTACTACATGGACGCATAGAAACCGTGTCCATATGAGTATGTGAGACTTAAATTTTATCAAAATGAAAAATCCCCTTATGCATTATTTTTCTTTCGAAACTTTCTCCAACCCATCTTTTTCTACATTTATGTAATATTTCCTTAGGGATCCCCTAAATCCCCACGACATCAACCCCTATTTTAAATTTTTGTTTTTAATATTTTGTGGATACTGATACTGATCGTTGTAGCAATCCAATACGGATTTGTGGGATAAACAATCCACCCTGCCGGTCCGGGTTTTTAAACGATAGTTCGAAATATGGTTCCTCTTTTGTAGATGTAGGGATTTTTTTGATAGAGAAGCTTTTGCCCATAGGGGACTATAGAAAGAGTTTTAAGAAATTGATGCTTTAGGGATTAGGATGATAGTATGTCCGCCTCATAACATTACGCCTCTTGGGAGTCGCAACTATTTTATGGTCTACTAAGGTTATGTTATTCGATAGAAGAGTATTTTGCTTCTAGTATTGTTTGTACTTGTGCTACTTGGATAATGTGTTTTATAGATGACTTAAAGTTGTATTTTTAATTAATTAATTAATTAATTAATCGTTTTTGAAATAGTTAAAAAAAAAAAAGTTGAACTTAATTAAAGAATTGTATATAATGAGACTATTTACCTTTGGTACAAAGAGGTCACAATTACTTATATTTATATGATGAGAAATCTATTAGCTTGAGTGTGTGACAAAGTTTAAAAAAAGTTCTTTTGAATATTGAGCTTGATCAATAAAATAAATGCAGTAACCAAATTTCACACCAACGGTCAAGATCAATTGTGACCACCTTGTACAAAAAAAAAAAATCGTTGCATTGTATATTTTTCCTTTTAAAAGATAAATTTAAATATTTTGTGATCATTAAGCTACAAATCAATCAATACACAATTGAGCAAATATGTTCAACGACAGGCACATTAAAGTGCAGTACCACTATATCGAAGACGTGATTGAGAAAAATAAGGTGGCAATTACTTTGTCATCCTTTAATCTTATTGCATATCCCTTAACTAAATGGCATGAGTCTGAAATTATTTTCAAGTGTATTTTCTGTATGGAATTTAAAAACTTGTTGAGTCGGATAATTTTTACAATTGTTGGCAGATTATCGTGTGAGTGAACAAATTCACATTTGAATGAAAATTCTTATTATAAAAACTATGAATACGTCACGAGAGG